AGATACAACCGAGAAAGACCGAGAGCGTCTATTACCTGAGCAGCAACCAATAATAATAACAATCTCGCATTCTCGCTTGACATATCATGGCTGTGACACAGGAAATATTAACATTAGGATTTAAAATATTCTAAAACTATAAAACTTAGCAAAGCCTGTCTGACACTGATGTACTCTGCAGAGGTGAACTGTGGCAAGGGGGTCCTATAGAGTGACAGCTGCCCCTGATATTCCCTGATTTTATTACATTTTATTGAATGTCTGACGGTGTTGACAAAAAGTGGAGACGCAACTTTAAAATCTTAAGAAACATGCATGTGTCATTAAAAAAAACAACCTTGCTTTGATAGGAGATATTATTAAGTGTTGCTTTTGATAAAACAAGCTCTTTTTCATCATTAAAAAAACATTTTTATCCATTTTATTGCATATGAATGATTGAACCCTTCTCTGGACACACTGTTTTAGATGTAGTGAGAGTACATTAAGAAACACAGATTTGGTATAATAATGAGAAAATTAAATTGAAGGTGATAATTGTGTTAAATACATTCTATTATTAATCCCTCATGACATTTAAAATTGAAAATATTTTGTATTTTTTAAAGCTAATAGCAGTTACCATTGCTGGACCTGTTTTGTCCCACGTCTCAAGCTATAGATTAAAACACATCAGCCATAAAATCATCACTCTCGTCACGTGCGTTTTTGCAATAAATACCTTTGACTGTACTTTTATTTGTCTGCTACTTGTTTTATAGTGTTCAGAAGTGGGTAGGTTTAGGGTAGGGGTGGGGTTAGGTGCTTCAATGAAAGTATACATTTATATAAAATTATTTCTTTTATTTTTTTTTTTACAAATGCATGCAAACCAATAAATTAAGACAAACAACTGAAAACAATGGAGGACCCTGCACGTCGAAAAGTGACGCTAAAAGGATACCCCTGTGCGTTGAAAAATGATGCTAAAGGGGTATCTTGAGCGTCAAAAAGTGACGCCAAGGGGTCCTGACCAAGCATCAATATCTGACGAGTTGGGAGTGAGAACGTGTTGGTTTTGGGAGTGTTGATGGAACCCATGCCTCTTTGCTTTGATAATATTACTGAACATGATCCAGATGTAGTATTTGATAAAAATTTTGGTGTATTGCATGTTCAGATATTCATACAACAAAATATTTTGGGGGCAATGCAATTTTAGTGAAAATCATCTAAAATGCTGGTGGTGGCTGGCAACTTTTTTCAAAAAATGCTGGTGGGGAAAGAGTTCAAAACTGGCTCCTTCGTCGCACACCACAAACCAGACATTTGAGTTCTTGAACACTGGTCCTTTGTTTACACACACTGCATCAGAGCCCTTTCTTGGCTGCACAGCCGTGACCAAAGGAAACTCAGCCAGAAAAGGCGGAAAACGAGGAAGAGAGATCCTCGTCAGACACCGTCCCCTCTGACCTCATCTCCCCAACCATTCTGCTGACTAACGTTCAGTCTCTGGACAACAAACTGTGGTCGTGCATCTCCTATCTTCTGGCTACCGAGGGAATTTACAGTGGTCATAATCACAGCTGTTAACATTCTCTCTCAAGCCAACAAAGACCAGGCACTCAAGGAAGACAAGCGAGAAGGAAACCGTATTATCCTGATGCAGTGTTTATTGTAACGGGGAACTTAGCTCCAAAATACTTGCACATCACCATTAACACACGTAGTGAGTGTTTTGGACTGCTACTCTCCTTTCCGGGATGCCTTCAAATCCCTCCCCCATTGTTGCCCCTCTCCCGGATGAGCTGAATCATTTTCATGTTTGTTTTGAGGCTCACAACACCACCCAGACAGAGAGAGCTGATGCAGAAGCGGTTAGTATGCTCTCCGTCTGTGTCGTGGATGTAACCCGATCCTTCCGACGGGTGAATATCCGCAAGGCTGCAGTCCAGATGGCATCGCAGGCCATGTACTCTGAGCTTGCGTGGGCAACTTGCTAGTCGTTTTCACACACATCTTCAACCTTTCCCCCTCTCTCTGTCTGTGGTTCCCTCATGCTTTAAAAAATCCACCATTGTGCCTATACCAAAGAAAACTAAAATCATGTGTTTGAACGACACCCATCTTCAGCAAATGTTTTGAGAATCTCATCAGAGACTACAGTATGTGAGAATCAGTGGTGTTCTGAAAATGAGGTCTTTGAGTCTTCAAAGTTTTTTTTTTTTTTAAATCAAATGTAATGTACTGTCCCAGTCACATGTTCTTGGTTAAATAAACATTACTCACACTATCAGAAAAAAAAAA